GGCAGCGTCTCCCAAATTCCGTCCTGGCGCTCAGCCAGACTCGGGCCTGTATCGGATTACCAGTGCCGTTTTTCCTTCTCTCTTCTTTCCACCAAACCATCCAAGCATAGGACCTTGTGTGTTTTTTGCAAACGGACACACCGGTTGTGCACATCTTTGAATGGAGTATCTGTGCACGTTTTCTAGACGCATGTGTATTTTAATGTGCGCGCATGCTGCGGAACACATTTTCGGGGGGCGTATGTGCGAATCACACGTATGTGAGCTCGGAAGTGGACAGACTTTAGGTGCAGATGCTGCTTGAGTCCGTCCTCGGTTTGGAAGGTGCAAGCTGGGTAAACGGTAATTTTAAAATGTACTGAAAATAATTTCTCCTACATCTTTAGCGTGGCCCCTTCTCTCTCCTCTGCTCTGCAATTGAGCAATAATGAGGAAGAGAGAAAATTGTGGGCATGGGTTTTATCCATTTTTTAATGTCCCCCGGTACTTAACTGGACTTCCCTTGCATCCGGCCTCCTCTTACAACTACAGCTCCCATTATGCTGGGTGCTCGCTGTGCCAGCTGAGAGGTCTTCACATCTGGGAACACCAGGGCTGGGCTGATGACGGTTGCTAATTATCCGGTTATTTGTAGCCAAGACGAATGATGCCTTACTGGGGTCCCGAGGAATGGCCAGACATACCCATTTGACAGACAGGATGGATGACTCCCCTGAACAGCTCTAGTCACCCCCCTCCCCACCCCACGGCAAATGGGCTGTCTTCAGAGGGGGCTGCCCGTTGCCTCCCTGTGTGAGTCGCTGGCCTGGCCTGCACAGAAGAGCATCCCTGAGTCACTAAAGCATGAGCTGCGGTTGCAAGCCAGAGTGCAGAACCCCTCAGAAAGAGGTGAGCTCTGTTTTGGAGCCGCGTGTAGGTATCAGCCCGGAGTTCAACCATTCTGCAGGGTCCACATCTCTCAGCAACCCATGATTCAGTGCCAGCCGATACTTGTGGGGTGCCCGCTGGGCCGCTGCTTTCGGCCTGGGAGAAGTGCCTACAGTGGCACCGGATTCTCGGCAGAGTCAGAGGAATGCTACCCCCTAAACAGGCAGGGCTTTTCCAGTGCAGAGGAGTGGGGAGAAACCCCCAATTAAGGGAGAAAATTAAAAGGAGGCGGCCAGTGCTTCACCGACGACTAACATGCCCCTCCGGTTCTGCAGAAATGCACCTCCCTCGGCGTCCCCACACCCTCAGGAAAAAACCCAGGGCAGGAGAGCGCCTTCCACAGGGCGGCAGAGGTGCGTGCCGAGCGCCAGGCGCACCGGGAAAGCCCGTCTCGCCCGCCCCCCCTCATTTTTATTACCCAGACCAAGCCCCACCTCAGGCATCCTCTGTGGCGCAGAGCGAAGCAAAGGCGTTCCACGGCGCATCGGTGCGCTTCAGGACTGTGTGCAGGTCACGCAGAGAGAGATGCATGGAACCACACGTGGGTTTCCACGTGAGGAGCGAAAGGAGGATCAGAGCCGAAGCTTGTGCTGCGCTGCAGGCGGGACCAGCGGGAGCGCAGAGAAGTCTCGCTGACGAGCTCTGCTTCTGCAGATCGTGTGGCCCGGCACCCCGCCTGGGTGCTTGGGGCCCCCCCATGCGCCACCCCCTCTGGGAGCGGCACAGGGCCCCCCCCCCCCACCGGACCCAAGCCGGAAAGGACTTGTCCTGAGGGACGGCTTGCGGGGCAACCAACGGCCAGGGCAGCCTGGCTTCAATAAAACCCTTTTCTTTGGGGCCTTTCCATCTGGAGTGCCGGGCGGGGGGGGGGGGTACTTCAAAGCAGCAGAGGTTGGGGAGGAAGCACGGCGGTGGGCTTGTGGTTGCTCCAAATTAAGTCCAGGGCGATTGGATCATGTTACGGGGGCGGTCGGAGCAGGGGATCCCGGGCCCCGCGTGGCATTCCTCCTACACCCAAGGAAGAGGGTCGCCCCTCCGCCTCCCAGGCCGCAGCGCTCTGGCGCATGGCGGGCAGGGTCTGATTTGGTGCATCAGCCTCTACGGGTTTCTCCCCCGTAGGACATGCGCTCCGACTCCCTTTGAAAGGCGCAAGGAGCGTGTGGCTCCTCGTCCGACCTTTTCCTCCGTGAGCTCTCAGGAACGGTGGGCTGCTACATAAATCGGGACGGAGAAGGGGGCAATTGTTGGCCAGTTTTAATAGGTGGGGCTGCAAAATTTAGTAGGGTTCCAGCTTGGTGCCTTTTTTTTGGGGGGGGGGCTGCTTTGGTTTAGAGGCTCTGCTGCCCGGGGGGTGACTGCCAAAGAGGGGCAGTGGTGGTTTTTCTTCGGTCATACGTCCTCTAGGGCACCTTCAGCCTTATCTCAAACAACATGGAGCTCGGCAGTTCAAAGGAAAACGACCCGCCAACTGGGAAATTGTTTAATTGGCTGGTGGCCTGGCCTTCTCTTCTCTGCTTTTGCCTGAGTCTGCAGACAGCGTGATCCCTGGGGGGTAGGGAAGGGTAGAAGGCCGCTGGAGGAAGGGGGGGCCCCCCTTCCGGGGGTGGGGGGGGTTGCGTGCCTCCCTTTGATGCGGGGGGGGGGGGGGCTGTCTCGTTCCCTTTTGCTCCAGAAGGCAGAACAGAACCGGTGGGTGGAGATGGCGCGAGGAAGCGGAGTTGGCTAGACGTTGGGGGAACTTCCTAACGTAAAAGCCGCTTCGCAGCAGAACGCAGGGGCTTGGAGGTGCTTCAGCTGGGATGGGCGGCTGTGGGGAGCAGTCCTCTCAAATGACCCCTGGCTTCTGGGGGGGGGGGAAGCAGCGCTCCCCGGGCCAAGAGCAGGGAGGCCTTCCTCCGCAGCTGGAGGCGGCACTTCCCCTCTGCGGTTTCTGCTCGGGTCGCTTTTCCCGAGATGCCAGGTGCCCTGGAGGGAAGGACGTGCACCGCAGGGGAGCTGGCTCGGTGCAGAGCCCTGCTTCCTCGGAGACCGGTGGGGATTGGGCCCTGTCCCATCATCCTGCATGCATGTCTTTGCTCTGTGGCAAACACCCAGCGAGAGGCTGTAGCCGAGTCCAGCTCTGGGCCATTTTTTGGCGCTGTTGAGTGGCCAGCTACGAATGCAGTGTGTGAAGACGAGGACCGCCCCCTGCTCTTGCGCATCCGGTTGGGTCACTGAGATCGGAGTTCTGGCCTTGGGGAGCTGCCCTTCTGCCCCCACCCTGCTGCCCTACCGCCGTGACTCCAGTTCCTGGGAAGATCTCCGGGGATCCTGCTGGAAAGCGCTCAAAGCTTAGCTGAGCTGCTTTGGAGATGAGCCCTGCTCCGAGACTGCGGGAACGTGGAACTCTTCCGGAAACTCGGCTTTCCCAGGGGACCACGAATAGCCCCTGGGGCCATGCAGAAGACATGCCCTGACTTATTTTAGGCATCCGTATCCAGAAATATTCCTGGTTCATGGGAGTGTTTCTTGGCATGCCCGCACCCACCTGCCCAGCCCCTCAAGGACCTGCTGAGGCACTTCAGCCTGCCCCCTGGGTTGCCTGTGGGAGCTCCCAGAAAGCCCTGCCCTGCCCGTCCGGCGTGGCTTCTCTCTGCTCGTGGCTCGGGCCGTGCCAGGGAGGAACCGAAAAGCAAGCTGGCCCGCGGGCCGTATCCCTTCTTGCACGGAAGCCACGGCCTGCGAGAGCGCCTCCTCGGCATTTCTTTACCTCCTGCCTCTTCCCAGGCGGACCGTGAGTGGGAGCTGCTGGGCACCGACGCAGACTGCCAAGCAGTGGCAGCGTATCCCCTGCAGACTGCGCCCTGAGCTCATACTTGGCCGTGAACTGGGTGGTGCGTTCTGGTTTTGCTGAACATCTGCTCCAGTCCCAACTGGGAGGGGCCGTGGCTCAGCAGCAAGCCCCTGCAGAAGGGCCCAGCTTGGTCCCAGCAGCGGCCTCAGGTGGAAGCCCTGTAGAGCTGCCCCGAGTCCGTCAGCCACACCAGGCTGGACGGCCAAGGCCTCCCGCACTCTGATTCCGCACCGAGCGAGTCCGAATCCTTCGAGCTACCGCAGTGTGGCAGGTTTTTTGCAACACTGAGGATGCAGTCTTTCTGAACTGGCTTGCTGTCTTTTGCTGCCAGAAAGAAACTCTGCCCTCAGCCGCTGGTAAATCGATCCAGCCATCCCTCCGGCTCTCTCAGGGGCCACCTATATGCTTCCAAGGGCATCTGTTTCAGTCCTAAGGACTAGAACCTTTCTTAAAAAGCTGTGATTCTTAATCACGTTCCAAGCGTGGTCCAACATTCTCCTGGTCTTTTCTGGGTTTGCACAGGATTGTATCACATGGAAGAGATTTCAGTTTACAGTTGGTGAAGTGAAAATATGTCACTAGCTTTTGATAATGCCCCCCCCCCCTGCATCCAGCGTGCACAGAGAGTGTCTGCTTTTTGGGTGGTGGAATGGAATCATTAAATGTGTGCACATTGACCCATTCGGGTATCTGTTATGTCGGTATCTGGAATCTTTGTTGAGGTTTAGTTACCTGTGCTTACACCTGCAGTCCATAACCTTTTTGGAGAATTTGAAAACCTGCCCCGGGCACCATTTCAGAATGGTTAGTTTAGGACCGCAACGCTTTGGTGTCTGCCTGCCGTCTCGTTCAGGAAAAATCTGTATCCACCGGAAACTGAAAGGTCCCTTTAATAAGGGATTGTCTAATTTGGCTGATTACTGGCAGTGCAATATAGTTAATGTAATCGCATCTTCTTTGGAGGGGTTATTACGTAGATAAATTTTGCTCTGGAACAGTCTTTAATATTCCCTGATGTAGACGCTTTTTCAGTTCCTTACCTGCTCCTTCCCAACAGCCAAGAGCCACTGGAATTATTTTACGGTGCACAATCCATCTCTCGGCTGCTATGATCCAATAATGGAGGGCCTTAAAGCAATTCCAGTGTTTGAACAAGAGGCCTGTAATGGCCACTTTGCAATGGAAACCTTTGGATAGCTGCTTCGCGCTTGTCGTTCAGTCTCGCTCGTTCTCTCCGCAGCTGGACCCCCAGACTGTGCAGACCAAGGACTGGCATGTGGATGTGATCGAGATGAACGGGGTAAGGAGCAGCTTGCCTGCCGTCACTGTGTGCTCCCAGATTCCTCCCCACATGCCTTAACCACCCCCGTCCAGGGCGGTTTGCCCCTTCCGCGGAACGGGAATGACGGCCCCCCGGTCACGGGACACGATCCGAGCCCGTGCGCCTTTCTGCCATCTCCCTTCCAGATCAAAGTGGAGTTTTCCATGAAGTTCACCAGCAGGGATATGAGCCTGAAAAGGACCCCCTCGAAAAAGCAGACCGGAGTCTTCGGTGTCAAAATCAGCGTCGTCACCAAGTGCGTTGGGATCGGGTCCCTAGCAGGCCAGTGCGGGATGGGGAATGTCCCAGCTGGGGAAGGCTTGTTGAGTCGGGCTGACGCGTGCAGCGGTCGCTCTTCTCCGGCATGCGTCTCTCTCGCCTTCCTTGCTGAAGGCCAAACTGCTCTGAGGGCTCAGAGCCGCTTCCCTGGGGCGCAGCTTCTCCTCGTGTGCAGCTCTCCATGCCCAGCCCGTCCCTTCTCCCCTCCTGCCAGGCGCGAGCGTTCCAAAGTGCCGTACATCGTGCGCCAGTGCATCGAGGAGGTCGAGAAGCGAGGGATCGATGAAGTGGGCATCTACCGAATCTCCGGAGTGGCCACAGACATCCAGGCCCTGAAAGCCGCCTTCGATTCCAGTGAGTTTTTCCACTTCGCGCCGCTGCGGGCTGCCTCTCTGGACAAAGCGAGGCCTGCTCCGTGCAGAGCCCCGCTGGCTCCGAGGTGCAGCCACCCCAGCATCCTGCTTCTGGCAGGGAACAGCCGGGTGCCTCTGGAGCAGCACCTTCCCTGACGGTGTGTGTCGGGAGGGAAATGGGCTCTTCTGGGCTTGGAGCTGGCGTGTATTAATGATGGCAGCCTTGCTCTGAAGGAGGTGTGTGGGCCCGTGGGGGGGGGGGGGGGGGGCAGCGCACCTGCTTTGCCTGGGGACAGAGCCAATCCTGAGCTGCTCCAGGAGAGAGCAGGCGAGAGGAGACGTCCCTTCTCTGCCGGAGACACAAGACGGTGCTCCTTCGCCTCGCCCAGACTGGGCTCCGGTTTGCAGCCAGCATATTTTAACACCTCTTTTGAGCACGAGGATGCTGAAACCAGCTTTGGTCTTGACCCTGCCATAGATAGCAAGGACATCCTGGTGATGCTGAGCGACATGGATATCAACGCCATCGCGGGCACCCTGAAGCTGTACTTCCGCGAGCTCCCCGAGCCCCTCCTCACCGACCGGCTCTATCCCACCTTTATGGAGGGCATCGGTAAGAAGGCTGGTTTCTGCCTGTGCTTTGGTTTTCCGCTGCCAGGTAGAAGGTTAACTTCTGCGCAAATGAGCGTAGGATAGAAGCCATCCACACGGCCACGCTAGCCGAAACGTCGCCCGCCTCTGCCTGCATGAATCCACACCCAGCCTGGAGATGCGAAGGCCCAGAAGAGGCGCAACAGATCAGGGAAACGGCCGTATTTCCCCCGGTGGTTCCGTTCTTTTCTTCCAGGCCTCCGTATCTCTCACCCGGCCCCTTCTTTAATGTTAATTAGCACACCTTCCCACCAACCCAGGGGCTACTGGGGGGCTCAGCATTTCATTTAGGGCACCTCCTTCGGATGACACAGCAGAGGATCCGTTCAGTCCCCGGCACCTCTGGGTGGAAGGACCCCTCCAGCGGCCCTTTGAGGCCAGCCTAGCAGAGAGCACAGGGTAGGCTCAGGTCGGCCCGCCGAGCTCTGGGGCTGAGCAGCGACTGGAAGCCAGCCCCAGCCAGCCCAGAGACATCCTGTGTCATCTGCTGCCCCACACTGACTCGTCCGAGCACCGCAGGGTTTGCGGCCGCACGACGACCGGCCCGTCAGCCTCTCCAGACATCTCCCCGCGAGCCCCTCACCACCGGCTCTTTCCTCTCCAGCTCTCGCGGACCCCTCCGCCAAGGAAAACTGCATGATGCAACTTCTGCGGTCCCTTCCCGACCCCAACCTCATCACATTCCTCTTTCTGCTAGAACACTTGAAAAGGTAAGTCCCACACGGAGCGTGCAGCCTCGGAGAGGGCTGTGCAACGGACGATACCCCTTTGCTTTGATTTCTACGTTTTTGTTACGAGCCAGAAAAAGCAAGCAAAGATAGCGGTTCTAGCCCATGAGAAAAGACTCCACACACAGACTCGGGCAATACCTTTATTAGGACCAACCCCAGTGCCGCAAAAATGCACAAGCCTTCGCGTTCTTCGGCACTCTTAATCAGAAACAGATACCAGAAAGGTTCCCAGGACTGCAAGCGAATGCTTAGGCAAGTGGAACGCAAACAGCAGATGCAAAGCCAGGAAACTTTAAAACGGCAGCAGATCAGGAATAAAGGCTAAATCCCAGCAAAAAGCAGAGCCGGCAGGATTAAAACCGTTGTCCAAAAAGTCTCTTAAGGAGGCAGGCAAATGAAGCGATCTCGGCCCGGTGCCAAAAAGTAGCAGATAACCCTCTTTACAGAGGGCATTCCAGAGGTAGGGCACCCTCCTGAGTGCCCCCCAAAAAGCTTAAGTGGGGCTCCCCAGTTCCCAGGTGGGCTTGGCTGTTCGCTTCCTTGCACCTCGCAGGGACCCCCTGCTACTTTACGGAAAACCTCAGGTCACACGGCAAAGCCAGCGGCCTCCGCGTACCTTTGATTCCCGTCTCTTGGGAGCAGGCAGATGCTATTTAATCCGGCAAGGAGCCACACGCACGCTGTTGGGATGCCGAAAGGGGCGATGGGAGAGGGGCCAAAGAAGGGGTGCCATTGCCCCCTCAGCAATGCCCAGAGCGGCCTTGGGGCTTGATGCGCTCTGAACTCTCGCCCTGCTGTCCTCCTCGCTCGGGTCGTGGTCTTCTGCCGAGGAGATGAATTGGCTGGAGGAGCCGCGGCTTGGCGGAGCGCCGGCCTGGCCAAAAAACACACCGAGGGGAATTTTGGAAGCGGCAACTGGAATCTTGCATCGCTGGCATGCTTCCCCACCCCCTTCCTTTTTCTAAGAACCAGGCCGGGAGGAAGTGGCGGGGGGTGGGGGGGGGAGCAACAAGATCAAGTCGGAGGCTCCTCGATGTGGCTTGAGGGAGAATCCACCGGGCTGTTCGCTCCGCAAAGCGGGCACGTCCCGTTCCCACATCTGTTCCTCTGGAGAGCGCTCAAGCCATGTGCGACTCGCATTACTGGGGAGGGGGCAGAGGAAGGGAGCCGCCAGCACAGCTGTCTCCTAACATGGCAATATTTGGAGGCCGGTTTCCAAGGCAGTGGCTGGCTGTGGCCCAGGAACGGGCAGTGGTAATTTCTAGGGGAAGGTGTGCGGGGGGGGGGGGACTCGTTGGCTTGGATGGTTTCCAGAACCAGAACTTTGTGCAGGAGAGGACAAGAGGGAGACTTTGGGAGGCAGGGTTGGTGCCACGTCAAGGCGTCGAGTTGGAGCCGGGAGAAGGGTTGCTTTCCGTAGAAAGGAGGTGACCGTGGCTGGGTAAACATGCGCGATCCCGCTCTCTTCCCCCGCTGTCTCTCTTCCAACTGGGTTTTGCCGAGCAAGCCTAGCCAACTCAGCAGGCCGTGCCCAAGCCGGAAGCAGCTTTGAAATGGCCCCTCTCCTTTGCGCAGGGTTGCTGAGAAGGAGCCCGTCAACAAGATGTCTCTGCACAACCTCGCCACCGTCTTCGGCCCGACGTTGCTGAGGCCGTCCGAGGAAAGCAAAGGGCACCTGAGTCTGGCTTCAGATATCTGGTCCCACGACGTCATGGCGCAGGTACACGCAGGTGGACGGATCGGGGATGCTGGAGAGTTGGGGGGGGGGGGCTGAGCTCAGGCGAGCGCCCCCTGCTGGACCAAGGACCAAGCATCACTCTGGAGTGGCGCTTGCCCAGACCCAGCCGTCCTAGCTCAGACGGGCGTGAACGTTTAGAAGAGGTCACAACAAGCCCAGCTTGCCCCCCGTGGCTGGTGGAACGGCTGTCTGGGGTGCCAGCTTGACGTCTGGCATTCCCTCCACCTTTTATTCTGTTGAATTTTGCACAGGCCCCCCTTAAACTGTGGGGTTTAGGGTTTGCACAGGAACGCGACCTTACTAGTGGGGCGTTTGCTTAGCACAGAAACCCTCTCAGGAGGTGGTGTGCTGGACTTCCGGCCGGAAGGACGGGTCGGCAGCGTCCGGAGCGGCTGTCGGCGCAGGCGCACCCCGAGTCTGAACCCTCTCCTCTGTGGCTTTCGCAGGTCCAGGTGCTTCTGTACTACCTGCAGCACACGCCCATCTCCTTTGCCGAGCTCAAACGCAACGCACACTGCTACTCCACGGATGTGTAGCCCCCAGCCCTGCGGCCAGGCGGGGGCCTGCGTGTCTCAGCGGAGGGTGCGGTGCGGACTCCACTCGACTTTGGACGCCGGTCCCGCCGGGGACGTTGCACTGTCCTGGGACTCACGGTGTCCGCGCTCCACGGACCATTTTGTACACTCCCCACCCCTGCACCTCCCGGCCCTCCTTGCGAGCGCCGTGCCCTCTCCCTGCACCTCCCGCCTCCCGCACTTGTGTTCTGGAGTCGTTTTTAACGTATGTCCGTTGGGCGGTGGAAAGGGGGTGAATGACAGATGAGGATTCGAGACGCTGCCTTTACAGCCCGCCTGGGCCTTTCCGGTGGCCGCCACCCTCTGGGTTCAGCAGAGCTTCGCTGCGGCCAAGTCCTTCCTCCTCCCCTCCCCGCCTTGCCCCCGCCTGCAGCCCACACCGGCGCCTGCCCTCTCACTCGCTCTTCCCCGTGGCTTGCATGTGTGGTGTCTGCTTGGATTTTCCTGCTTTGGAGGCTTACAAGAAATGAAGGGCTCCCCCCCCCCACCCCGGCTATGCAGATGGCGGATCCGGCAGCCGAATTCAGCCTTCCCTTTCTGCCATCAGCCGGTCTGTCTGGAGGGTGGGCTGTGGGCGGCATGGCTTGGCTGTTTCGTTTTTTAACGCCCAGGTTCCTTTTTATGCTCGTACGCTGAGGAGCTTCCCCCTGCGATTCCGGCTCGTTGCTTTGTGGCTGTGTGTGCCGGGGAGGTTAAGCCAGACTTCGCCTCCTCGTTTCATGCTGTAAAGAAGTTTAAAGGTACCCTGAGGGCAGCAAAGGACTGGCTTTGTTTGCTAGTCTGAGATGTGGCTGGATGCGGGGTGTGTGTGTGTGTGTGCGCGTGCGCATGTGTGTAAGAAACAGAAAGTTTATCTCCGGCTCTATTGTCCCCTTCAGTTTATTTATGGTTGACTTCTCCTGGGACTAATTTAGTCTTTGTTGTTACAAAGGAGAGCAGCTCTTACGGTGATATCTGAACATTCCCTCAAAGAATAGTTGGCTGGGTGGGAGGCCACAGCCGGAAAGTGGGAGGCCGGTGGCCTTCCTCCTGTGGTCCTCACGACGCCGGCCCTGCCAGCGAGGCGGCTTGTAGGCCCCCCCAGTCCACCACTTCCGGCGACAGTCTGGCCCAACTGCGAACTGGGAGCAGCGTGGCTCCCTTCCACCCTGGACAGAGGTGGGAAAAGGGCCGCTTCTCCATGTCTCAACCAGCACTGCTTACAGGGTTCGACTAGGAAGGCTCAGGTAGCAAGCAAAGGTGCCATTTCATCCCTTACAGACCCCCAGCTCCGCGCAGCCGGAGGAACACGCTCCTTGGGAGCCCTGCGGAAGCAGGCAGCCCGCCTGCTTTGACAGTGGAGCAGCAGCGCTCTGGCTCTGGCATCTTCCCAGCCCTCTCCAACGTGCTCAAGGTTGGCTGACACTGGACGGCGCAGGAGCCGCTCTGTCTTTGCATATCCGTCTCCTTGTTTTAAAAGCCACGAACTGACCGTGCCAGAGCTCCATTCCCCCGTCGCCGCCCCCCACCCATGCTGCAGGCTGCACCGGCCGGCTGTTCCCAGCCTCCCCTGCAGGGGCTGAGTCCTGGGGGAGGCCCCTTTCCCAGCAGCGGTCTCGCCTGCTCCTTCACGGGGCTCTTGGTTCTCCACCCCCCCCCCCCCGCCCAGGTGCCTGGCAGAAACCAGCAGTGAATTTAACGGGCAGGACTGCCCGGTCACCTAGCTCTTGGCCCCATGCAGAACCCCTGCCAGAGAAGGGGCTCCAGCGCACAGCGCACAGGTTAAGTGACACCTGCTGTGCTTCTGTGCCGTCGAGGGAAAACGGCACGGCTCAGTTCAGGGACCACCGCGTGCCCAAGCACTGGATTTCATAGCCGGCCGGGGGGGCGTGTGGGGGGCTTTTTGGCCCTGCTGCACAGTGTAGATGGGTATCTACCTGGGTGTCTGTCGCAGCTGGGGTCGTTCTCACGGAGAGTGCATGTCTCAGGGTATAATCCTGCTCTTATTTAGACAGAAAAAAGCCCTACGACTCCCAGCATTCCCCAGCCAGCAACGGGCAATTCCCATGACCTCTGGTTATGCTGTGGGACCACGACTGATGGGAGTTGTTGTCCCCAACATGGCTATCTGGGGAATATGGAGCGCTGCAAGCCATTCTTCCGCCTGACCGTGCAGAGGGTTGCATCCTGGGTCTCGCCAACAGAGGAATCGCCCCGTTCCCCCAACAACGGCACTTGCCCTTTTTATCTTTATCCCCCTCCCCCACCAGCTGGGTAGGGGAGACTGGGACTCCTGGAGCTACAGCTAGACTAGAAACTGTTGACTGATATTTGACTTGTTTAAGGATATATATTATATATATATATATATATATTTTTTTGGTTGTGTTCTGTTGCAGGTTTTTTTTTCTCCCTGTAGATGACAAAACTTTAAAATGGATGTAAACCATGTGAACAGATTTTAAAAAAAAGACAAAAACAAAACAAAAACAAAGAAGATAATAAAAATACAAAGCCCAAACATTTGCACAAATTACTTCAGGGCTGTTGTCATTTCTGTCCAAGGTGAAGGTTTGGAGCGACTGGACAGGCCCGTGTTTAGACCAAATGCTGGGCGGCAGGTTTCAGAGCTGGGGGCACTGATCAGTGGCAAAGCATCGACTCTGCCAAGAGGCAGGTGGGGGAGACGGGGGGGTTGAGAAGGGGCACGCAAAAGCTTAATTATCCAGCTTGGAAATGGCAGTAATTCTCCTAGGCGACAAGTGCTGTTGCCATGGGATACTCAGACGGGTGCTTTATGTTCTTCCCGCCGCCTGTTGGGTGTTGCTTCATGAATCTGCTTCTAAGCCTATTTTTCGTTCCTGGCTGTAATTCACCCGGGAACAGGATCGCGAAACACAAGTCTCGTTAACAGCAGTTTTCAGTGGAAGTTGCTGACAACCGGAGAAACGGCTTCCTCTGCATGCGAGGTCCCCAGGCTTAGGCTGCAGCATCTCCGTTTAGCAAAGTGACAGGCAAGAGAGACTTGAGAGGACACGGACCAACTAAGATGACCTAGCAAAAAGCAATTCCCTGTATTTATCTCCCACTTCTTCCCTGCAGGGAAACCAAGGAAGCGCATTCAAACTACCTCCTCCCCGTTCTGTGCTCACAACAACCCCCCTGTGGGGAACGTGAAGCTGAGAGGCAGTGCCTGCCCCAAGTCACCCCGGTGACCTTCGTAGCCAAGTGGGAACTTGTCCCAGCACAGCACTCCAACCACGATACCACTCTGGCTCTCTGCGTGGCACAGAATCTTGCTGTGTGCATTTGGGCTATCCTCTCTGCTCTGGCTGTACAAGTTACTCCAAAGCCACCGAGAATAAACCGCATTCTGCCCCCCTCCCTGCCCACCTGCCCCAACCCACGTCGTTCTACTGTTCTTGCCACATCTAAGCAGTGCCGTAAGTATCTTTTCTTTATCAACAGGATGAACTGCGGAGGATACAAAGCAATGGAGCTCTGTGCATCCACACCCTGAATCCCATGCTCGGTTCTTGAAAAAAGTATCAGAAGGCAAGTTAGAGATTATAGAGCTGAGAACGAGAATCCAAATGACCAAGAGCAACTTCCCTGAAAGGGAAGGGTGCAAAGTCTGGGGCTGATTAGCTTAGAGGAAAGGCAAGTAACTTTTCTTCTTGGGCTCTTTTGCTTGTTTCAAGAGGAGGAAGTTGGGTTGAGGTAAGGAAGGAAGGCCTGGGCATGACAAGGTACATCCACACCTTCTCTGAAGCTCGTCGATGGTATTTAGCTCTGACCAGAACCAAATGCTGCCACTTGCTTCCAGTCCGAGCCCCTTGCTTGGGGGAATACGGAAAGCAAGGCAGTGAGAACTGGTGCTCGTTTCCTCACAACCACTGTTACATTGTCTGCCACAGAGTTTCATGGGTGGCCAGGAGGAAGACATTCCTTTTAATCAAACAGGTATTGCTTTTGTGGGATGCCCGCTTAATGTGAGAGCAATCCAGCCGCTCCCTCTCTGCCTCTACAAGTCCGGTTTGGATGAAATGCTTCCTAATCACATATCTTAGACTGGCTGTGGTGCAGGAACCGGAGCAGCCTGACACAGGCACCATGACTCTGGGATGGAGGACACAAGGATGTAAAAGCACCTCTTGGATAAACACCCTTCCAGACTGAAAGCGCAGTCAAGTTCCAAGAATGGACCCTCCAGATGACTGGGATCAGTGACAGGCCAACCCCTTATGTCAGCCTGCCCTCCAGACTGGTTGAACTAAAACTCCCATCATGCTTAGCCCTGCTGCCTAGGATGGCTGCCCTGTGCAGATAGCCTTAAAACAGACCTGAGGGAAAAAATGCGTCTTTTGCCCACCCTTTCCTCACAGGCATTGAGAAGTAGACCAGTAAGACTTTTAATTCTAGGATGGACACATTCACTGTGGAGACACCAAGCTGTCTCAGTTAAATTTGAAATTCACCCAACAGCCAGACCCACAATCTCTGCTGCTCCTTTGGAGGATTGTTCCTGTTTTATTAGTATCAAAACCCTTTACAGTGTCAGGAATAAGTTACGTTTCCATTTCTCCTGCATCAGAAATGTAGTGGCAAAGCTACTACAAAAGAGTGCAAAAGTGCTCACGTAACGTCGTCACCAGACGCAGCTGCACCAAACGGCAGGAGTCGAGAGCTCAGGTGCTCCAGTGTTCTCTCTCCGTCAGCATTTGGCTTAGGTTGCTCACTGGCTCTGCCCATGGGTCGGCTGGCCAGCCGTCGTCTTCGGGGCGCTGCTCGCAACTCACTGCCTCTTTCCCCAGTGGTTGGCAGTCCAAGAAAAGGACAGCTAACTGTGTCCACTGCAGCGCTGATGTGAGGAAGCCCTTCTTCACGGACTCTGGCTGCTATCGTAAGTAATAGTCTATGACTGCAGAGAAGGCAGCAAAGCCCCCGCATCCAAGCACCCCCGCTTTTAGGCCAGCTGAAAAGCAAAAGGAATCTATTAATATAATGGCAAAACCCCGAGTTTCTGTTCTCTGGCTGAGCCTCTGCTGTTGGCCTTGAAAACAAAGATCAGCCAAACTGCCTGGTCCCAGCTCCCCTCCAAAGGATGCCCCTGCTTTTCATGGTACTGGGGTGCTTGAAGATGTCAGTGGCTGATCTCACTAAGCTCCCAGACCCAAGAAAGGAAGCACTCGGAGGAGCCGGGAACGGCAAAAAAGGAATCGGGAGACAGCAACTGCCATCTCTTCCTGCAAGAAGTTCAAACCATTCGGGCTCAGCAAAACAAGCTTAGTTAGAAGCGGTTCCAAGAGCTATTTAATGCTCTTAAGGAAGATTACTGCCCAGGATTCAGGCACTTGAACATCCCTGCTGGCCCAATACTGGCATTTTCTAGTCTTTAGCTCTCTTGCCGATGTCACCGTGCTGCAGTACTCAAATCCTAACAGCTGAGACAAAAGCAGTGGCGCGCTCTCCACAGACCAGAAGATGCCAGTGTTCAGGGCAGAAGGATCCGTGTGATTGTAGAGAAGCTGCCCTGAAAGACACTGGCCTGACATGACCCAGCAAGGGCCAGCCTCAGCATGCACGTGCAAACGCGGGGGAGCAGCAGGCCCCAACAGCACCCAGAATCCTCTGCTATGCGCAAAGGCCCTGCAGCAAGCCAACGGGCCACAGCTTAGAGCATGCATGAGGGGCCCCGTTTGGTCCTTGGCATCCCCAGTTTGAAAATGGGATCAGGGCAGGGGTGCTCAAGGCGGCTAACAATAAGATAGAAGGCTGGAAAAGATGGGAGTTGCCACCTGCAGGACTCCAGCTTGAGGAAGGCTTTGCCGGACCAGAACAGCCTGGCACGTTATGTCTTTGCCAGGGACCAGATCAGCTTGCTCACTTCTCCGAGGCTACACCACTCACCTCTGAAGCCAATGGCTCCTCCAGTAATGCACCCGCTCATAACGCTGTTTTTCCAGTCGGATTTGCCTCGGTACTGTGGATACAAGAATAACATCAAGACCAGTTTGCACAAAGCTTAGATACATGCATAGCTTCCTTGGGAAGTTCTGTTGTTGTTCCAATGCTGGTACATTTCAGAGGGGGAAATGCGGCAACCTGTGCTGAGGAGTTCAACACGGTTGCCATGATTTTACAGGGTATTTTTGTGCCCATGTTTGCTTCGTACGCTGTCTGGAGGACCTTGTGCTCTGGGCAGCTAAGACTGCATGTTTAGACAGAAAAAAAATATCCTACAATGGCCAACATTCTCTGACCAGCTACGTCGGACTTTTTCCCGTCCAGACATCCATAAGCCTGCCCTAAAGAGAGAACATTCTGGAATATGGCTAATTTTAGTGATGTATGAAAGAGGATGGTTCTCTGAAGATGGTTGCTGCAAGCCCAGAATGGGCTGTCAACTTAGAGCACTTGGAAGATATGGAAGGAACAAGATACGGGGTCGAAGGTTGCATATTATCACCACCCTTTCAGGTAGCACATCTGGCTGGTACAATACTTGCTGTGAAGCTGCAAGCGGGAGCCCAAATTCTTCATGGAGCGTCCAGAAAGGTTTAAAGTGAAACCTAGATAAGTTGGCGCACTCCCCGCTGGACTCCAGGGCTGCTGCAATTCTTTTTAACACCTGGCGTTTATTTATTTAGACATCATCACTAAATGTGTGAGGGACTTGGCCAAGCTCATCTTAGACGCATTGCATTCAGCACAGGAAACCAGCCGATCGAACTAAGGAAGCTGCTTACGGATTCCACCAGGCACTCAGTGCAGGAAAACATGGCACCCACGATGGCAAAGTTTTTGGCGTAGGAGATCCCTCTTTGGCCCATGTCTTTCAGGACCTCTCTGGCGGTCGGCGTGCGGTACGGATCCTTGGGGTCGAAGCCGACGTTGGTGTCGATGCCGGCTGTGAACACGCCGAAGGCACCGCCTAGTACAAACCCTGCGGAGGAAGAAAAGAAGTGTCAGAGTGCATGTAACTTGCCAGAGCACTAAAGGCCCCCGTGGAAACTCAGGTTGCAAACCTTTTCCCCACCTGGCTGGCCATGGCCACCTCCAACTGCCTCCTGCCAACCCACCATTTTGCAGTATCGGGAACGTGCTGGCTAGACAAAGCAAATGCAGCACCTCGTTATTAATAATGAGCCTCAGCTGCTCTTACAGCCCTGCTTTTATAGCCCAGGTTTTGATACGGAGCAGGGGCTTTATTTAGGGCTGGGCTGCTCTCACTCGCCCTGTGAAGCCAGCACTAGGCTTGCCAGGGCATCCGAGAAGGAATCTATTCACGACGACCCTGTGAAATAGGCCTGCGACTTAAAAAAGAGTTACCTCACGACAACCCCACGAGGTCGGCCCGTGAGGGAACCTTGAGGAGAAGTACCTCACGGCAACCCCGCGAGGTCGGCCTGAGGGGTAATCTGCCATAGAGGCGAGATTAGTTTCCTTCGTGTTCTCACCGCCGACGCAGGCCAGGACCGCCTTGAAGCCGCAGCTCTCCATGGCCCGCTCGACCATCTTCTGCTCGGGGCTCTTGGCCGGCGTCGGGAAGCCTCCAAGGACGGCCGGGTCGAAGGCCTGCGGCTGCCTCGGCCCGCGCTTGTCGCCCACCAGGTGCTCCAGCAGGAGGCTGTACTGAAGCGTCGGCGCCGGCCCGGCATTTGACTCTGCTTCGTCGGGCCTATTCAGGCCCGCGGGAGAAGCCGCAGCCATGATTTTCCTCGTCTCCGGCTCCCTCAGGAAGCGCAGACTACAGCTCCCGTCATGCCCTCCGCGTAGCGTCCCTATCGCCAGATGGGTCTTCTACCGCAGATGACTCATGGGAGATGAAGTCCGGTCGCATGGACGCAACGGTCGAGCCGGCCCGCCCGCCAGTCTTTGAGTCGCGTCCCGAAAAACTACAATCTCCCATCAGGCCGTTCGCCCAGCTCCGCGTTTGCTCGCCGGCTTTTCTGTCGAAGCGCCTCGCGGGAAATGCAGTCCAGCCTCCGTGGGCATGCGCCGCCTCGCCCAATCACGCCGCTCGCTTCCGCAAGAGGCCGCGCGCGGCCTCTCCTCCCGCTCGTGGGCCGAGGCGGGGCCTGTCGGGGCGGCGCGGGCGGCCTTGACCTGCGCGAAGGCGCCCCCTGCCGGACCGGCCGGGAGCCGCCGCGGAGACCCGGCGCAGCATCCCTGGAAGGACAGGTGAGGGGCCGCAGGTGAGCAGGGCCCCGCGGGCCGCCCCGGACGCCCCTCCTGGGCCGGCGCCGAAGAGCCGCCCTGCGGGCCGCGGGCGGGCGGGCTGCAGCGCGGCCGGTGTTCACAGCAATCCCCCCGCCGTTGTTTCGGCGTGTCCCTGTAGGAAGCCTGCAGATACGGGCATTGCAGCCCAAGCCGCCCCCCAAGCCCCCACCGCCATTTTGGGAAGGCGGAATACTTCTCCTAAGGCCTCGTTATCGGTGCGAGGAGGAAGCACGGCGGCAGTTTTGGGGAGCCCGGCCCTGCCTGCTCCTAGCATGAGGGCCCCCAGGGCCGGTCCTTTCTCTGGGCCCCAGAAATAAGCTTCGGCTTTATCCCTGCTGGGAGGCCAGTGCTGCGGTGGAGGGGAGTGCAAAGCGCCTCACCATCGAGAGCTGCTCTTTGCAGCCCTGCTCGGGAGGGGCCGCTGCTTGTTGCAGCGTGAACGCAGCTGTGATGAAATGCAAAGCAAGGGATGGGGCTTGGGGGGCTTTAAACTGACTGCTGGGAATCCCAGAGGCAGCCGGCACCTGCCAAGGCATTTATGCGCAGCAACTGTTTCTATCAAATTCTTCCTTCCCTCTTTTGTCTTCACAAGAACCCTGCCAGGTAGGCTAGGCTAGGCTAGGCTGCGAGAGGGTGGCTTGCTTTAGCTCACACAAGCGGCTTCTTGGCTCACTGCTTCACTCGTTTGATGTCCTGCCGGCAAGGTTGACTCATAATGTTCCGGCATGATGAGAGTGGGAAGGAATGTCTCCCGCTCCACTTTTTCCATGCTGAGCATCACTTTGTACACCTGTGTTGCGCCTCCCCTTCCTTGCCTTTATTTCTAAGCCACACAGTTCTCTGTGGTATTTTAAACCAGAGCCGCAAGGACCGGGATTGCTAATTTTAGGGCAAGGATTTTTGTTCAGAGACAGAGCACCTGCTGTGTGTGCATGAGGTCGCTTGGATTTCCAGTTAAAAAGTGAACTAGAGAACAGGTCTCTGGAAGGGGCCTTCTCGGTGTGAGACCTTGGCCTCAAAGGTGTAGGGATCAGAGACAATGTGAGGCAATCTCGTAAGTCCCCAAACATTTTTCCAGGTTCCCTGTGTAATTTGGCCAGGCCTGGCCCAACATCTTGGAAGTCTCTGTTTGATACCTGGGCAGAAGGAAAGGTGCTGACGGGGTCGGGAACACCTGGTGGCACCCTTCTGCAAAACGGTTTTCTGGCCCTGAGCCCGGTGTCTTTCTACCTCCCCACTCTGAAAGAATCATTATTTTTTTCTTCCTTGAAATATTCCATCTCCATGGCAACAGCTGGAACAGGGTCCCTCACTGGTAGAGTAACGCCAGCCCTCCCTAGGCAGCTACATGAGCATGAGGATAACCGAGGAGGGATGCGCTCTGTGCTGACCTTCCGCATGGGAAGAAGGGGGTGATTCTGCTGTGCTAAGGATTTCGACGGGGGTCGGGGGGGCTCCCAGCCTGGGGAAACACTGGATGCGTTGCATGAGGAAGGCTTCCGATTTAGCCCTCGGTGCTTTCAGCTAAAAGACCTTGGTTAACTAGGGATGGAAAAACCTCCCCACCTCTCTCTGTGCCGGCGATTCTGGGGGGCTTTCGTGGTTGAGAGAGGTAACCTAGAAGAACCCGCGACTCCCTCCTGCAGGATGAAGTATTTTCTCATGTTGCTTGCATTCTCGAAGCCTTGATGGGAAATTCTGCTCATCGAAACATAAGAAAAGCTGTGCTGGATGAGACCAGGGTCCATCTCATTCAACATTCTGTTCAGACGGTGGCCAGCCAAAAACCCACGGGCAGGATGTCCGTGCCGCTGCACCTCCCTGGCCGTATTCCACAGCAACCGGCACGCATGAGAACGTGGCCGCTGAGACTGGGTGGCTGTCAGGACTAGCAGTTACTGCTTGCCTTTGTGTGTGTGTGTGCCCAGCCCCTCTTTTAAAGCCATCCAAGTTGGTGGCCATTCCTCCATCTCAGAGCTAGCTAGGTGCCAGGGGAAGAAGTCTTTGTCCGGAATCTCCCATTGTTGAATGTCGTGAGGTAACCCCATTGAGTTCTAAACTTATGAGAGAGGCACTTTCTCCATTCCAGGCATGATTTTGAACATTTCTGTCATGTCTCCTTTCAGTCCCTTTTTCCCTAAGCTAAACACCATCTGTATTTGTAATCTTTCCTCAGAGGGGAGTTGCTCTACCCCTGTACCATTTTCCTCAGCTCCATAATGACGTTTTTCAAGTGCAGTGGTCAGAACTGTACGCAATATTCTAAGTGTGTGTGCACCAAAGATTTGTTCAAGGGGAGTAAGGTCTTGGCGGTTCTATTTTCAGTTCCTTTCCTCGTTGTGCCTTGGGTGGAGTTTGCTGTTTTCACAGCACTGGGTTGACATTTTCTTTGGGCTGTCCACTGTAACCCCAGGCTCCCTTTCATAATCACTCAGCACTAGCTCAGATCCCATCGGGCTATACTTAAAGTTGGGGGCTTCTGCCCCAGTGTGCAGTGGTCTACACTTCACCCCCATTAGGAGTCACCACGCGTCCCAAGCTTCTCTGATGTTCGTTCGCAAGCTCTCCAGGTTCTAAGGGCACAATCCCATATATGCTTAGGCAGAAAACAGACCCACAAGCCCAGCATATCCCCCAGCCCCCTTTCCTGCCTCAGTCATTCCTCTTTTGTCTGCCCACTTTCGGTCTCCCCTGATGGAGCTTTCTGCATCTCCCAGACCAATTTCCTGCTCAGCTTCCAAGCACTCGCCACTCCCACTTTTCCTGCCATCATCCTGGTTGAAAAAGGTTTTGCAAGGCTTTCAAGAGTTCCTCAGGGTCGGGAGGAAAGCACGGCCTCCTGCGATCCCATTGGGATCATGTGGGTGTCGCGTCCAGCGTGGCTTCTGTCGCCCGCCTGGTCTGTGCGCACCGAGAAGGTCAAGCCGGTGCCTCTGAGAGCGCACGGCAAGGCAGGTTTTCGTCCCCCCAGTGTTTCTGATCCAGCAGTGGGTAGAGGAAAAAGCAGCTCAGGAAAGCAGGCGTGCTTGGCTTTGGCGTAAAAAGCTGCCTTTGTTATTTCCCTCTGCGCAGCCGTCGTCGCAGCTCTCTGGTTCGCCCTTCCTTTTCTCGGGGAGATTGCAAATAGCTCTGTGTGGGCAGTGATATATTTAAGATCCCCAGAAGAGCCTCGTGGGGTCAGGTAACGGTCTTCTCATCCAGCGTTCTGTTCGTGCAGTAGCCAACCCACATGCAAGGCGTGGGTGTCTGAGCACCTCCCTACCCCTGTTCCCCAGCAGCTGGCGCACAGGGGCTGATGCTGAGGGCCACCAGGAGTAGCAGCCGGGGTGCCCTCCTCCTGCAGGAATTTGGCCAAGCCCCCCAGATTGGTGGCTGTCACGGCTGCCTGTGAGCAGGAGTGCTGAGAGTTCGTAGTCCACAGCATCTCGGGGGCACCGGACTGGGGAAGGCCGCTGAAGACAGGGCAGAGATGGATGGGTGCCGGTGCGAGCTCGCTTGACGTGGTGCGTAGAGTGAGGGACTGGGACTCGGGGACCTGAGTTCCAGGTTGGCCACAAAACCTTGGACAGGTGATTTTGGGCCAGTCGCCTACCTCACAGGGCTGTTCTGAGGAGAAAAGGGAGAGGGAGGTGACGGTGTCGCCTGCCTTGGGCTATTTGAAAGAACAATGGAAGGCCTGTAGATCTAATTCAGCAAAGTCTGTTCTGTGCTGACCGGCGGATTGTCTCTGGGGTGGTAGGCAGAATGCCTTTTCGTGCCCTGCCTGGAGATGCCAGGGAATAAAGTTTGGCCTGCGTGGCTGGCACTCTACCACTGCCTCAGAAAATAAAGATTCTAGTCCTCATGGTTCTGAATAAAGGACCTGTTTCACTAGAGCTGACTCGGTGCTGCCTAGGACAACTGGCAACGAGACTCCAGGGGTTTGGGAGCTCTTGTGGCTCCTTCTCCAGAGGCCACAGCCCAGCCCATCAGCTCAAGGGAGGTCACAGGAGAAGAGCGCGGCATCATGGGGATGTGCACCCTGTGATAAACAGTCATCTGTCTAGGGCACTGTCTGTTTTTTGTCTGCTCGGAAACCGTCACGCTCCTGCTTCCCCTTGGTTTTCTGAGCGCCCGGTGCAGTTCTCTTGCAGGGCTTTGGTCTCCGGTGTAAAAGAGCTGCTCTCCTCTGCTGGGCGCATCCTCTGGGTGCCCTGGGGTCAGCGCTTCGTGTTCTCTCTCCTCTCCCGCTGCGTCGGACCTTCCAAAATCTGGCGGCATCAGCAGTTCAGCCAGTAAGTGGCAGCGGTAGGATAGGGGCTGACAACTCAGCTGTTTTATTTTGATCGGGCTTTCGGACTGCGGGAGCCGGGCATGCAGAGGCAGCGCTCGCTCCCCGTTGGCTCTGGCTCACTCCGCTCGGGACCTCCTTCGGCATCCCTCTTTCCAGTCCCCTCTCTGTTTCGCTGCCACCTCCCGCTCGCCAGGCCACGTGGACCAGCGGCGCTCGACCAGTCTTCAGCCACGGTGAAGTCAGAATGGGACCATGTGGTATGTCTGGGCCGAGGGAGGAGAGGGCTGTTGACTTGGGGTGCTTCCTAATGAGGCTGCC